GTAAGAACCCAGTTGTTAGTCGATTGGCCAATTGCTTTCTGGGGATAATAGTCCCTTTTTTAAAAAAATGTAGTCACTCAATTTATGATTGATTGTGGAACACTGCTGTGCACAATTGGCTTTCACCCATTTTATAGTATATCCTTGTGGAGTCCTGTAGCTCAGTGGTTAGAGCTTCGCCTTGCAAGCAAGAGCCCGCAAGCGATTCCCAGAGAGCGAAATATTGGGCAAGGTTCCTTACTCCACATGCCTCTGTTTACCCAGTAGTAAGTAGGAACCCAGTTGTTAGTCGATTGATGGATAGCTTTTCCATGGGTAATAACTCCTTCAAAAAACAATAATAAATTGGTCACTTTAATCCACGACTATTTGTGGGACACTGCTGTGCGCAATTAGCTGCCGTGTTTCTCCCACAAAGATATACAGTCAGTTCACTTTACAGTATATTCTGTGAAGCCCTTTGAGACCTCTCGAAGACGTGATAAGGCATTATATCAAATGCAAGGATTATTATTATCTTATGAAGTGCTTTGAGACATCTTAATGATGATAAGGTGCTAAATCAAATGCAAGGATTATTAGGAATGCGCACTCTCTCCCTCCTGCGCATTCCTTTCCAACAATCTATCTCAGGAATTTCCATGTGGGATGCCTGGAATTCTCAGCTTGGTTTAAATACTCTTAAGCATAGTGATGGGTTTCTGCATGTGGCAGACACCCGGCTGGCCCCACAAAAGTTACTTCAGCCCTTGGACTGTCGGAGACAGTCTCTCCTCCTGGCCAGTGTGCTGACTGTGTCTCTACTGACGTTCCTCCAGCTCTCTCTCTCTCTGTCAGATTCAGCCTCTCCTGCCTGCAATTCCCCCCCAACTGTCACTGTGTACTGGGCTACTGCATTATATTTGGATTGTTCTAAAACATGATCTCTTTTACAGCTCTATCTCTTTTGTACCGTGAAATATATGGGTCTGAAAACCATCATTGGTGAGTCCCTTTGTGCAGGGGATTGGATTTAGGTAGATTGGCGGAGAATAGTGGAGATTAGGGATTTGAGTGAGTGGATTCGTGTAGATTAGAGTGTGGGTGTTGGTAGTCTCGGGGATAATTAGTGATTGGGGTTTGGTGTGGGGGGATTGGCAGCTGGAATCTTTGTTAACTTTAGAGATGTCTGAACACAGAATAATTATTCATCTCTCTCTCTGCTCCAGTTATGCTCATTGGCTGTGGGGCGTTAGTGAATGGACCCTACTCTCTGATTACAACGGCTGTATCTACAGACCTAGTGAGTATTCTGTGGTTTCCTTTCCCTTCTTTTACACACAGGTTTTTCAAAGAGTCGGCACGGACACAATGAGCCGAATGGCCTCCTTCTGTGCTGTATAATTCTATGATTCCTCCCTGCGGTCGCATGAGTGATTTATAAAGCGGCTGGATTATTTCGGCTCAATATGAAGATGTGGAATATGGAGACATTAAGGGCTATGGATGAGACATCCTTCAGCTGAGACTTTAAATCAAGGTCCCATTTGCCTGTTTAGGTGGACGTTAAAGATCCCATGGCACAGTTCGAAAGAGAAAGGAGTTTCTCCCAGTGTCCTGGCCAACAATCCCTGAAATTAAAATTGTTCGGTCACTCCATGGCTGTTTGTAGATCATTACCTTGCTGCCACGTTTTGCCCACAAAATATGCAGTCACAACACTTTACAGTATATTCTGTGAAGTCCTTGGAGACATCTCAACAATGTGATAAAGTGCTATATCAAATGCAAGGATTATGATTATTATTATGGAGAAAGCGTGGGGCATTGGAAATATAGATGTGCCAAAATACAATAATCTGGGGGAACAGGCTCAATGGCTGAATGGACTCTTATTTTCCTATGTTTTAAGGAATTTAACCCAAGTTAACCCAGTTTCTCATCATATTCATTTGTCCCAGGTATTAATGTAGTGAATCACCCTCCAAGCCTATATGTAGGTATATATGCTCCCTAAGATTTGGGTCCAAAACTGAACCCAGTTACTGCAAATGAGGTGTGACCGTTGCTGTATATAACCAGGTTAGCCCTTCCTTACTTCTATATTCCAGAGTCTGTGTAGCTACAGTGACCCCTTTTCCCCGCAAGGTCCCAGCACAGGGGTAACAGGAGAGCAGGTATAGTCTCCCCACTCCCCAGCACAGTGGGAACAGGGTAGAGGTGCAGTGCTCCCCCAACACAGGGGTAACAGGAGAGAGGTGTACTGCTCGCCCTCCCCCCCCCCAGCACAGGGGTAACAGACGAGCAGGTGTAGTGACCCCCCCGCCGCCTCCTTCCCTCCCCGCCCTGCCAGTGACCATGTTCGGCTTCTGATTTCCAGGGCACCCATACAAGTCTGATGGGAAATTCCAAGGCGCTGTCCACGGTCACAGCAATCATTGATGGCACTGGCTCAATCGGTGAGTGGTGGTGAGAGATCCGCTCTGCATTTCCCACTTAGCAGTGCTTAACCCGCGGTTAGTGTGAGTGACACAGGGTCAGTGTGAGTGATGGTGAGTGACACAGGGTCAGTGTGTGTGACGGTGAGTGACACAGGGTCAGTGTGTGTGACGGTGAGTGACACAGGGTCAGTGTGTGGGATGGTGAGTGACACAGGGTCAGTGTGAGTGACACAGGGTCAGTGTGAGTGACACGGGGTCAGTGTGAGTGACACATGGTTAGTGTGAGTGATGGTGAGTGACACAGGATCAGTGTGAGTAATGGTGAGTGACACAGGGTCAGTGTGTGATGGTGAGTGACGCAGGGTCAGTGTGAGTAACACAGGGTCAGTGTGAGTGACACAGATGTCCTCTGTGGTGTGGGTACTGATGGTTGTGGTGTAGCTACTGATGTATTGTGTGAAGGGCGCTATATGGGATCAACTTCTACATGTATGTGGATGACACCCAACTCTATCTTTCTGCCTCCATCCTCAACTCCAGGACCACTGCTGTCCTGACAGACTGCCTGTCGGACATCAAGTCCTGGATGAGGGCAAATTTCCTTCAGTTGAATGTGAACAAGTCTGAGGCCCTCCTGATTGGCTCACGCCAGCGCCTCTGCACCTCAGGCTCTGGCAGTATCAACCTCCATGGTTGCACACTACAACTCACCAAGCCAGTCAGGAACCTAGGTGTTTTGTTTGACCCTTAACTGTCTTTTCTCCCCCACATTCAAGCCTTGACCCGCTCTGCCTTCCCTCACCTCCGTAACATCGCCCGACTCCGCCACTACCTCACCCCTCAGGCCACTGAAACTCTTGTTCATGCCTTCATCACCTCCAGACTCAACTATGCAAACGCCCTGCTTGTTGTGCTTTCCAACTCCTCCCTTCACAGCTGCAGATAATCCAGAACTCTGCAGCCCGTGTCCTCTCCCGCACCAAACTCTGTGACCCCATCTCCCCCACTCTCGACGGACTCCATTGGCTTCCTATCCTTCAGAGGATCCAGTTCAAGATCCTGGTCCTCACATATAAAGCCCTCCATGGCCTCACCCCACCCTACCTTTGCAACCTCCTAACCCCTTACCAACCCACCTGTTCCCTCTGCTTAGCCGGCTCTGGCCAGCTCTACATCCCCCGACCCATCCACTCCACCATTGGCGGGAGAGCCTTCAGCCACTCCGCCCCAACCTCTGGAATTTCATCCCCCAGTCACTCCGCCTTGCCCTCTCCTTAGCCTCCTTCAAGTCCGCCTCAAGACCCTCTTCTACGACCATGCCATCGACCACCCCTCGTCCCCTCCCTTCCCCCCACCCCTGACCCCAGCTCGGGTCTGAAATGCTGTACTCTGTCCAGCGCCTTGGGACGTCCTCCCGACGTGAAAGGCGCTATGCAAATGTAATATTGTCGTTGTTATAAATGTAAGTTGTTGTTGATGATGTTTCTGTGGTGTAGGTGCTGCCCTGGGGCCACTGTTGGCTGGCCTGATTTCTCCCACGGGCTGGAACAATGTCTTCTACATGTTGATGGCAGCTGATACTTGTGCCTTCTTGGTGAGTGACATTTTACGCATTGCTGAACACACTCAACAAATCCACATCCCATTCACACTCACCGTGTGGTGGGTGACTCCCTCCCTCTTTCGCATTGTGTGTATACGTGTGTGTGTCTTTCTTTAGCTGTGTGTCTGTCTCTAGCTCTGTGTGTGTCTCTCTCTCTAGCTGTGTGTGTGTCTCTCTCTCTAGCTGTGTGTCTCTAGCTGTCTGTGTGTGTCTCCCTCTAGCTATGTGTGTATCTCCCTCTAGCTGTGTGTGTGTGCCTCTCTCTAGATGTTTGTGTGTGTGCGTCTCTAGATGTGTATGTGGGTGTCTGAATCTCTCTCTCTAGTTGTGTGTGTGGGTGTCTCTCTCTCTCTCTCTGTCTCTCTAGCTGTGTGTGTCTCTCTCTCTAGCTGTGTGTGTGTGCCTCTCTCTAGATGTTTGTGTGTGTGCGTCTCTCTAGATGTGTATGTGGGTGTCTGAATCTCTCTCTCTAGTTGTGTGTGTGGGTGTCTCTCTCTCTCTGTCTCTCTAGCTGTGTGTGTCTCTCTCTCTCTAGCTGTGTGTGTGTGCCTCTCTCTAGATGTTTGTGTGTGTGCGTCTCTCTAGATGTGTGTGTGGGTGTCTGAGTCTCTCTCTCTAGGTGTGTGTGTGGGTGTCTCTCTCTGTCTCTCTAGCTGTGTGTGTCTCTCTCTCTAGCTGTGTGTGTGTGCCTCTCTCTAGATGTTTGTGTGTGTGCGTCTCTCTAGATGTGTGTGTGGGTGTCTGAGTCTCTCTCTCTAGGTGTGTGTATGGGTGTCTCTCTCTCTCTGTCTCTCTAGCTGTGTGTGTCTCTCTCTCTAGCTGTGTGTGTGTGTGTGTCTCTCTCTCGTCAGTATCTCTCACAATACTCCTCTCTGTGTGTCTCTATCTGCCAGTGTGTCTCATTGTTTCTCTTGCTGTGTGGCTGCTGGCTCTACTGACTGATGCTCTTTGCTGTGACTTTAGTTGCTGTCACGCCTGGTGCTGAAGGAGCTTCACCTCGTGGGGACCCCAGAGGAGACTGGCGAGTAAGAAATTTTTTTTTGTCTTTTAATCCAAGCTTCCACTTCCTTCCTCCCAGTTTCAAGGTCCTCATCCTCACACAGCCCTTTGTGCCCTGGCACTTCCCCATCTCTGGGATCTGCTTCTTCCCACCCCTTCTGCTCTCCCTCACATCCCTCTGCTCCCCCCCTATCCCACCCTTCTGTTACCCCCGCAGGCACTCCCTCTGTCACTTCATCTCACCCTATCTATCTGTCTTTAAATGTGCTAACTTTCGGCTGTAAGTCAGAAGGTTGTGGGTTCAAACCCTACGTTGGGATGTGAAATCACATAGCTGATACTCGTGTGTGGGGTGGGGGTGCTGGTGGGCTGCATTGTTGGTGGTGCCGTCGTTCGGATGAGATGTTAAACCAATGTCCCATCTGCTGGTTGAGGTTAGAGATCCCATGGCGCTATTTAAAAATGGAAGGGAGTTTCTTTTTTCCTGGTGTCTTGGCCAACAATCTTCCAGACAAAATTGGTCATTATTCACTCCACTTCACAGTCAATCCTGTGAAGCGCTTTGGGACGTCCTCTCACCTGAAACGCAAGCATTATTATTAAATTCCCCCGCCCCCGAAAATCTACCTCTTCTATTCCACCTATCGTCACCTTCCTACCCCCAACCTCCCCCACAGTCCCGAACCTCTGACCTCTCACTAGAGCACTCCCAAGACATCCTAGTGAGGGGCGCTGTAGAACTTCAAATAAAGACAGGTTAGAAAATCCCATCTTCATCTGGGGGCAGTTTGTCTGATGAGTGCTTGTTTGCCCACAGGCTGAAAGAACACTAGGACCTCCAGCACCAGCTCCAGCACCAGGAATACCTTACTGAACAAGCCATTGCACTGTCTGCCTTTCCCTTATTGGGGAGAGGGGGCAGAAGCCGGGGGATGGGGAAGAAGCTGGGGGATAGGGTAGAAGCCGGGGGAGTGGGAAGGAATCTGGGGGAGGAGGAAGGAATCTGGGGGAGGGGGAAGGAATCCGGGGGGGAAAGCCAGGCGAGGGGAGGGAAAGCCGGGTGAGGGGAGGGGAAGCCGGGTGAGGGGAGGGAAAAGTGGAGGTGGGGAGGAGCAGTGAGGGTTTATTAGTACCCCCACCCCCCGGGCTGGCCCCACCCTCCCCGGGCTGAAACCACCCCCCCCCTTGCGGGCTGAAACCAAACCCCGTGGGCTGGCACTGATTTTGGGGGCACTCCATGCTGGCGCTGAGGGCTGGCAGTACAAGCACAGGCTTGTTGTTCCTGCCTCTTGTAAACCTTTATCACATTCAGTGACGAGCGTGTCTCTCGGGGGAGAATTGCGTGCTCTATTTCAGGCAAATATAAATTTCTAAGCCGATATGGGACTCTCAGTTGAGGATTGCTCTTACGTACTTGGATGCTGTTAAGCACGGTGATGGGTCAGACGACCGCTGACCAAAAAATTAATCTAGAAATCATGAATGTTATAATTGTCACTGCACTGGTTATTTATTGGTACCTGTAGCCTTGCTGCACTGCCGAGCTGTTTGTGGGAGGAGATGATCTATGAAGTGGCTGCAGACATGGGCAGCTGTTCCTGATGGGTTTATTTTTACACGGAGAGCTCTTCAGAGACACAATGCATTTGTCCCTTCAGGTGTCTGATTGCACTTTAGTGACCTGCCTCTGTCAGTGCCTCTCGAGAGACAGAACCAGAAATAAAAAAAATCCACAATAACATTCCTCTGAGTGAGACTCACAGTCAATCATTTGTGGCTGTTTGTGAGACATTGCAGGGTGCAAGTTGGCTGCCTCGTTCACAAATACATAGTTGCAACACTTCACAGTAAAATCTTGTGAATGTGATAAGGCGTTATCAAATGCAAGAATTATTATTTTATATATTATAACAAGAAGACGAGATCTCACAAAGTGCTTGGAGTCCTGTAACATAGTGGTTAGAGCACTTGACTCACAAGCGAGAGGACCTGGGTTCGATTCCCAGACAGGGCGAAACATTAGGCAAGTTTCCTTACTCCACAAGCCTCTGTTTACCTAGCAGTAAGTAGGAACCCGATTGTTAGTTGATTGGCGGATCGCTTTTCTGGGGGCAATAATACCTTAAAAAAAATAATAAAAGTTTGGTCTCTCAATCCACGACTGTTTGTGGGACACTACTGTGCACAATTGGCTGCCGCGTTTCGCCCACAAAATATACAGTCAATTCACTTTACAGTATATTCAGGGAAGCACTTTGAGACTTCTCAAAGCTGTGATAAGGCACTATTAAATGCAAGGATTATTATTATTTTGATGAATTATTCAGATTGAATATATATTTACCAAATCATTATCAGTGGTATAATGAAGTGCTGTTAAACTTTCTTTTTCTTAGTAATTGTGGTGTCTGACCTTTCACTGGAATACTCGGGGATCAATGTGTTTGGAACTTTAAATGTTTAATGTTTGTCTATAATCTGCAATAAATTATGTTCTGATATTGCCTTTCCTGGGTATGCTTCCCTGGTGTTGAAGTTATGGTGCGTGGGGGTTCCCTTGAATACTAGTAAATATACACATTTAGNTTTTACTTTAAAAATAATGAAAAGGTGTAATACAAATTTTCTGCGGTCAATGAGTTAGTGATTTGCTTCCCGGGCTGCAACCAACCTGCACACGATTGTTGTCGCTCTGAGATCTCAGCTCAGACTCGGCAGCTAACCTGGCAGTGTGGACAGACAGTATAGAGGGAGCTTCACTCTATCTCTACCCCTGACCTGGCAGTGTGGACAGACAGTATAGAGGGAGCTTCACTCTATCTCTACCCCTGACCTGGGAGCGTGGACAGACAGTGTAGAGGGAGCTTTACTCTGTCTCTAACCCACGTTGCCTTGATATGGCCTGTGCCCTGGTGACTGATGATCTGAATTTTTATTTAGTGAAATGAATGTGCTGTTCAAGTTGAGTTGCAGGAGTGTGTTGTGAGAGTGAGTGAGGGGTCCGCCTGTACAGGTGCTGGGAGTGTGAGCAATTGTCCTGAGAGCAGCAACTGCTAATTATGTTGATTACTGAGTGAGCAATTAATGTGATTAGGGGGTCAGGCTCTGGAGTCCTGTAGGTTAGTGGTTAGAGCATTCACCTCGCAAGCGATAGGACCTGGGTTTGATTCCCAGTGAGGCGAATTTTGTTAGGCAAGTTTCCTTACTCCACACGCCTCTGTTTACCTCGCAGTTAGTAGGAACCTGGCTGTTAGTCGATTGGCGGATCGCTTTTCCAGGGGTAATAACCCCTTCCAAAAAAAATAATAATAATTTGGTCACTCAATCCATGACTGTTTGTGGGACACTGCGTGCAATTGGCTGCCATGTTTTGCCCACAAAATATACAGTCAATTAACTTTACAGTATATCTGTGAAGCGCTTTGAGACGTCTCAAAGATGTGATATCAAATACAAGCATTATTATTATGGGGGGGGAGCTGTGGGTGGGACTGTGGCTATGGGTGAGGCTGAGCTGGGACTGGGATGTGGGTGGGGCTGGACTGCACTAGGAGAGGCTGGACTGCACTGAGCTAAGCTGGAGGAGAAGATGCTGACGGGCTGAGGTCCCATTAATTGCAGAGTTGGGAAAGCTGCTTTCTGGCCTACATTAGCCTAAAAGGGTCGTCTCTACAATCTAACTGAAGCTGCTGGTCGTGTGCTTGTCCAACTACCGCTCCATTTCAAACCTTTCTTTTCTATCAAAGGTATGAAACAAATCATCGCTTCCCAGCTTTTTTCTTTCCTCTCCCAGCATTACCTCCATGAACCCCTCCAATCTAAGTTTTGTGCTGCTCACAGTGCAGAGAGCCGTGGTCAAAGTGACAAATGACATTCTGACCACCTGCAACCAGGGCCCTCTCTGTCCCTTCATCCTTCTCGACCTGTGGGCCACTTTTAATACTGTTGACCATTCTATTCTTCTTCACCGCCGCTCTTCTTACTTCCATCTCAATGATTCTGTTCTTGCCTGGTTCTGATCCTACCTTTCCCACCGTTTGCACTTTGTGGCCACTGACGGCTTCTACTCTAGCCCCCACGCTGTCACGTGTGGCATCCCGCACGGCTCTGTCCTCATTCCCCTCCTCTTCAATCTATACATGTTCCCGCTCGGCGATGTCATCCACAGGCATGGAGTCAATTTCCACATGTATATGGATGACGCCCAGCTCTGCCTCACCGCCTCCATCCTCGATTCCAAGACCGTTGATGTCCTGGCTAATTGTTTGACATCAAGTTCTGGAGGAGATTCACCTCCCTCCAGCTCAATGTCGGCAAGATAGAGGGCCCTCCTGCTTGGCTCCCGGCAGTGTCTCCTCACCTCAACCGCTGACACTATCACCATTCATGGCTGCGCTCTTCACTTCACCGAGCCAAAACCTCGGTGTCCTTTTCGACCCTCAGCTATCCTTCAAACCCTACATTCAAACATGTGCCGTGACTGGTTCCGCCTTTCCAACCCTCCGCAATGTTGCCTGCCGCCGCCACTGCCTCTCACTGCAGGCCGCCGAGACCCCGATCCACTCTTTCATTAAATTACGTCCCAGCTTGACTATTCCCAAATTCCTGCTCACTGGACTCTCCCCTCCACCAGCTGTAGTTTATTCAGAACTTTGCAGCTAGTGCCCTTTCCCACACCAGGCTCCAGGAACCCATCACCCTTGTCTGGCTTCACTGGTTCCCATTCCTCAGAGAATTGAGTACAAAACCTTTGTCTTACCTTCAAGGCCCTCCATGGTCTTGCTCCCCCCTACTTCTCTGACCTCACAGCCCAGTATCAGGCTGTCCACTCCCTCCGCTCGGAGGACAGCGGCCGTACGTCCTGCCCTAGCATTGGCGGTCAGATATTCAGCACTCACACTCTGGAGCCTTAACCCAGATGTGAAGCAGGACAGATTTGGTGGAGCGCAGTTGCACAGTGGGGAGGGTTAGAATGCCAGAGGAATGGACATGATGTTAGTGAACAGGAATAAGAAGCAACAGAGAGGAGTTATGGGGGGATTAGGTCAAGACATGGTGGGTTTCATGCATGAGATGAGTGAAAAGGGCTGAGGAGGCTTTTTCTTACAATAACCCTCTCTTTGTTATTGCTGGAGTTGGGCCTGGTGATGGGGGCTAGAGTTGGGTTGGGTTCTGAGTGTGTGGCTGTGGAAGTTGCTCCTGAGTGTTACTGTCAGCTGGTTACAGTCTGGGACCATCAGGAGCTGTAGAAGGAGTGCAGGTGACAAGCATTGTGTCTGAGGACAGTGTGGTGCTGACACCTCAAGAGCAAAGCTCTAGGGACTAAATAAAGGCCTGCAGCCCGTGAAGAGGTTTCACAGCACAGCCTGGCTCATCAGCAGGACCTGGAAGGGCAGACCAGTCACTGGGCGGGTGGGGCAAGGATTCTTCCCACTCAGCTCCTGTTAACCCTGCAAGCCAAATCCCTAACTGGTTGGATGTGGAGTGGAGTTGCATCCTAAATGCAAATTTAGGATGTGACCTAAATTAACCTGATGGAGTTGTCTATACAATCTAACTGAAGATTTTTCCTGTGTTGGGACACTGCTGGAGTTTAACCAGCTAAAACCATGTATGCCATGTATGGTTTTAGCTGGTTAAACTCCAGCAGTGTCCCAACACACACACACACACACACTCCAGATTCTCCAAGCTCCAGCTCTTGACAAACTGCATCTAAAGTTTCTGAGATTAGGTGGCATATATATGGGGAACTCTTGTCGGATGTGGATATTAGGTGGCATATATATATATGGGGAACTCTTGTCAGATGTGGATACTCTTAAGTACAATGATGGGTTTCCAAGTGTGGAACCCCAAAAAAATACATACGCTGTGACCCTCACAACACACACACACTGTGACGCTCACACACTGTGACCCTCACAACAACAAAGTTAAATTTACAGAGCGCCTTTCACATCAGGAGGATGTCCCAAGGCCCTGGATAGTCAGGGGTCAGAACCCGAGCATGGGGGAGAGGTGGTGAAGGGGTGAGGGAAGGCAGAGAGATGGGAGGGCGACCGAAGGCACGATCGAAAGGGAGGGTTTTGAGACTGGCCTTGAAGGAGGCAAGGGAGGAAGCGAGGCGAAGGGACTGTGGGATGGAGTTCCAGAGTGTGGGGACAGAGAGGCTGAAAGCTCGGCCACCGATGGTAGGGCGGGAGATATGGAGCAGGCCGGAGCCCGTTGAACGGAGGGAGCGGGCAGGTTGGTAGGGAGTCAGCAGGTCAGAGAGGTAAGAGGGGGCAAAGTCATGGATGGCCTTGAAAGTGAGGACGAGGATCTTGAACTCGATCCTCTGGAGGATGGGGAGCCAGTGGAGTCGGGCGAGGGCGGGAGTGATGGGGTCACGGAGTCTGGTGCACGAGAGTACACGAGCTACAGAGTTTTGGATGATCTGCAGCTTGCGAAGGGAAGAGTTGGGAAGGCCGATGAGGACAGAGTTTCCATAATCGAGCCTTGATGTGATGAATGCGTGGGTGAGGGTTTCGGCAGCCTGAGGGGCGAGGCAGTGACGGAGTCTGGCAATATTGCGGAGGTGGTGGAAGGCAGTGCTGGTCATGGCGCGGATGTGGAGGAGAAAGGACAGTTCAGGGTCAAACAAGACACCCAGGTTCCTGACTGCTTAGTGAGGTTGAGAGTGCAGCCGTGGAGGCTGATGCTGCCAGCGCCCGAGGTGCAGAGTCACTGGCGCGAGCCAATCAGGAGGGCCTCAGTCTTGCTGCCATTCAGTTGGAGAAAGTTGTCCCTCGTCCAGGACTTGATGTCGGACAGGCAGTCCGTCAGACGCCAGTAGTCCTGGAGTTCATGGTGCAGGCAGAGAGATAGTTGGGTGTCATCCATATACATGTGGAAATTTACCCCATGTCTGTGGATGATGTCACCAAGCGGAAGCATGTCGAGGGTGAAGAGGAGGGGACCGAGGACAGAGCCACTGTGACCCTCACACACACACTGTGACCCTCACACACTCTTCCCCCCCCCACACACGCACCGTGTCCCCGCCCCCCACCACCCACCCCACGGCAGTCGCACCTGCTGATGGTAAGGCCTGACAGCTATCTGGGCTGATAGTTCTCGGTCGATGATGAATGATGATGAGTTTGAGAAATGTTGGGCAGAATGAAGGAAAGTCCCGTGAGGTGGGAGCTGGGGCTGAGCCTATTCCTTACCAGTCACAGAATGCAGCTCGCTAACACCTACCCCAGCAGTTGCCATGGGCACACTGAGTGCTTTGATACAAGTGGCCAGCTCATCCCTGCCTCAGTCACTCAGTCAGTGAGGAGAGAGCAGAGCTGCAGCAAGGCACTTGGAGGTTCCTGTGCAACCCACGGTCACGGTCAGTGTCTGGGTTCTTGGTCTGGGATTGGACTAGTGCAAAGGTTTGGGTTCTGGGTCTCAAATTAGAGTCTGGGGTTTGGGTCCCCAGTTAGGATCAGGCATCTGAGGCTCAGGTTGGGATCTGCACCTGGGGTCATGGTGTGGGATCTGCATCTCAGATCCTGGTCTGAGGTTAGGGTATGGGTCTGGGGTTAGGGTGTGGGTCTGGGGTTAGGGTGTGGCTCTGGGGTTAGGGTGTGGCTCTGGGGTTAGGGTGTGGCTCTGGGGTTAGGGTGTGGCTCTGGTGTTAAAGATGTGGGTCTGGTGTTAGGGTGTGGGTCTGGTGTTAGGGTGTGGATCTCGGGTTAGGGTGTGGGTCTCGGGTTAGGGTGTGGGTTAGACTGGGGTGGATCTCAGGTTAGGGTGTGAGCCTAGGTCTCAATTATGGGTCTAGGATTTAGGATCTGTGTCATGGTCTTGGGTGTAGGTCTTGGAACTGGGTCTTAGGTGTGGTGTCTGAGTTCTGGGAGCACAGGTTAGGATTAGAGTTGGGTTTTTTGGTGTGATTTAGTGTTGGAGTCTCAGGTTAAGATGTGAGTTAGTGCTGAGATTTCAGACGGAGATGTGAGTTAGTTTTAGAATCTCAGGTTTAGATGTGAGTTAGTGCTGGGTGTAAGAGGTATGGGGCCTTTATCTGGGTTCAATAATTGAGCCCATTCCTGGGGTCTGGTATTCAGCAATTTAAAGGCTAGCATTTAATGTCATTCTTGGGGTTCAGAAGCTCTTTCTGGGGGTGGGAGGGCCTTTACCATTCCTTGTGTTCACTGTTTTCTTCTACTGATAACAGGTCCTTTATATTTTTGTGTCTCTTGTAAATTGACAGTGTTAGAGTGTCTCAAGATTAAGGTTGGTGTGTGGGTCTGGGTACAGCGTCTGTGGGTGTGGGTCAGTGCAGCCTCTCAATGCCATCCTATTTCCAATTTGACTTCAGGCGTGATGGGATCGGCATCTTCCAGCTACAGACCCAAAGTTGTTTACCTGGACATCGAGGGACGAACCCAAAAGGTCTGACTGGGCAGAGACCCTGTGTCTGTGTTCGTATTTGTGTGTGATTTCAGGCTGTGTTGCTATCGAGGTCTGTTCCCGTATCTGTATTTGTTTCTCTCTCTGGACCCGAGTCTGTGTCCAAGAGTTTAGGAGGTTGGGGCAACCTCAGACTTTCTGCCATTGGAAAGGGGCAGCGGGGAGGGGGGAAGGGGGATTGAGGATGATGCTGGGAATACTGTACACAGAGATTCTGTCATGTCAGAATTGAAACGAAGAGTTGTGGCTTCAAGATGCATCTAGGAATGTGAAGTGCAGGGGAAATGCTTTAGTCAGGGGTCCGGCACTTTATGATGGTCAGTGACACTCCCACACTCGGAAGCTGGCAGGCAGTGCTGGGGGCATCTTACCCCTATTGTAGGCCAGTGACAGCACAGGTGTGAGACAGAATACATCTGCCTCTGCACTACCTGCCAGGTAAATATTCGAAGGAATATTTTTAGTATTATCATTTGCAGGGGGGATATTGAAGGGTTACTTATGGGGTGGGGGCGGGGGTAACACTCCCAGGTAAGTAGACCTATGTGGGAGTGTGATTGATCGACCCACACAGATTCAGATTAAAGCTGTCTCTAACCTTTACTCTGTGCTTATGAACAGGTGATTTTCAGCAGGTGTTGCAGCCCCAATGACATCCGAGAGTTACTGTGCACCGCGGCTGGGCTGCCTCGGTATGTTCACTGTCAGTGTCACAGCAAACAGGGGCTGAAGGCAGGAGAGCCCCAGGCCAGGCTCAGCCAGGCACACTGCGAGTATGTGTGTGTGTGGCACTGCCCTGTATGAGTGGGTGGGTAGCACTGCCCTTTGTGTGTGTGTGTGGCACTGCCCTATGTGTGTGTGGCACTGCCCTGTGTATGTGGATGGCACTGCTCTGTGCATGGGTGGGTGGCACTGTCCTGGGTGGGTGGCACTATATGTGTGTGTAGGTGACACTGCCCTATGTGGGTGGCACTGCCCTGTGTGTGTGGGCAGGGCAGTGCCCTGTGTGTGTGGGGAGGGCAGTGCCCTGTGTGTGTGGGGAGGGCAGTGCCCTGTGTGTGTGGGGAGGGCAGTGCCCTGTGTGTGTGGGGAGGGCAGTGCCCTGTGTGTGTGGGGGGGTGTCACTGCCCTGTGTGTGTGTGTGAGGGGGGTGGGGGGAGGGAGTAGGCATGTTCTCTGCTCCTTGCCAATTTGCGTCTGTCTGTATTTCAGGTGTGCAGCCATCACCCTGCTGGACAATGAGAACACTATGGTGTCCATCGATCCCACTGTGCCTACCAACTCCGAGAGGTAATAGTAATAATATAATAATAACAATCCTTGCATTTGATATAGGGCCTTATCACACGCTTGAGACGTCTGAAAAAGTAACCCCCCCACCACCCCGTGAAAATATACCTTCAATATTATCCCCTCCCCATGCAAATAACCATCAAGATCAGGGGAATATTTCCCCTGATCTTGGTGGCTGCTGCCTCTGACCCGAACTGCTACCCTCCCAAAATGCCCCCATCGCTGTCCCCTTCCCCCCAGTAATGCCACTTGCTTCTCCTCTCTTAATGCTCTCCTTTCCTCCTGTCCCTCCTCGACCATCCCACAGCCTCCTTCTGCTCCAGCCTGGGAGCACCCCAACCCCCAACCCCCGCCCTCCATGCCAGGCTCATTATAACACATACCTTTGGTTCGGGGTGGTCTTTTGTCTTGACAGCGGTCACCCTGACTCTCCCGTTTCCCGCACCGGCCCCAGACCCGAGAGCAAACCTCTCTTGTCTCATCGATGTCCACAACTTTCAAGCCTCCCTACCCCCATTCTGCCAACTCCTCTGCTACTAAGACCGTACTTACCTGTCCGCACGCTCAGCTCAGTGGGCTCCTGCCTGCTCCATGTTCTTCACACTGCCGGCCACACCATTGATGGTCGAGCCTTCAGTCTTTCTGCCCTCACCCTCTGGAACTCCATTCCGGATTCCCTTCGCCTCTCCCCCTCCGTGCCTCCTTCAAGACCCATCTCAAGACCTTCCTCTTTGCCTGCACATTAATTGACTGTATAGTTTGTGGGCGAAAAGCAGCAGCCAATTGCGCACAGCAGCATCCCACAAACAGTCATGGATTGAGTGACTAATTTATTATTATTGCAAGGATTATTATTATTAAACCTCACCGTCCACAACCTTATTTTCACTAAAAACTTTGACATCCTCACCCTCACTGAAACCTGGATCATCCCAAGTGACACCTCCCCCCTGCCCACAAACAGATGTGGTTTGAGTGAATTATTATTATTATTATTTCGCTGGGCAGGATGAAACCATGGCAGGTTTCCTTACCCCACACGCAGTAAGTAGAAACCCAGTTGTTAGGTGATTGAGGATTCGCTTTTCCGGGGGTAATAATCCCTCCAAAAAAAAAAAATAATTTGGTCACTCAATCCACAACTGTCTGTGGGACACTGCTATGCGCAATTAACTGCTGTGTATTGTCCACAAAATATACAGTCAAATCACTACAGTATATTCTGTGAAGCACTTTGAGACGTCTCTTGTCTGACAGACATCAAGGTCTGGATGAGCGCAAATTTCTTGCTGTTAAACATCAACAAGACGGAAGCCATACTCTTTTGCTCCCGTTGACGTATTCTGTCTTGCAGCTCAGACTTCCCAACCTACCCGACCTGTCCTTAAAACTCTTTGAACTTGTGCGCAATTTAGGTGTCAGGTTCGATCCCCAGTTATTCTTTGCTCCCCCACATCTGCTGCCTGACCATGACCGCTTTCCTCCACCTCTGCCACATTGCCCGCCCCCGCAACACCTCACTTCACAAGCTGCTGAAATCCTTGTCCATGCCTTGTCACCTCTCGGCTGGACTACTCAAACACCCTCCTCGCCAGTCTCCCCCCCCCCCCCACTATTCACAAAATTCAACTCTGCAGCCGGGATTCTCACCTGCACTAAGCTCCGCACCCAATTACCCCAGTCCTTGCCAAACTCCACTGACTCCCCTCCCTGTCACAGAGTGAATAGACTTCAAGATCCTCACTCCAGTGTTTAAATGCCTCCGCGCCATGGCACCCCCCCCTATCTCTCTAACCTCCTTTCTCCTCACAGCACTACATGCTGCCTCCGTTCTACTGGCTCTGGCCTCCTCCTTGTCCCTCAAATCCTCCTCTCCACCATCGGCAGCCGTGCCTTCATCCACTACGCCCCAAAGCTATGGACCTCCCTCCCTCAATCCCTTCGCCTCACCCCCTCCTTCCCCATCTTCAGGTCGCGCCTGAAGACCTTCCTCTTTGACTGTGCCTATGGTCACCTTCCCTCTCCCCCTGGCTCGGCATCGGGCTCTGCCATTGTCAAGTGCCCTGGGACGCCTCCCGGTGTGGAGGGCGCGATATAAATGCAAGTTGTTGTTATTGTTGTCTCAAAGACATGATAAGGCCCTATATTAAATGCAAGGATTATTATTATTATTATTATAATCCTCTAAATTTTTACCCCCAGTGTAAATACATAACCCTTCATAACTATCCCTATGATTGGTGTCTTTCTTGGTGTCAAGACCCTGGTACTAATTATAATTGCCGGATAAATCTTGTATAATTTAACCCCCATTTCTTCCCACCTCCCTCTCCCTTCCTCTGCTCTCAACTTTCACTGCCAATTCCAGGACTGGAAGGAATGAATTATTGAGCCCCTCTCTCCTCAATCGAAAGGGTAGAACTTACTAAGGGAGATGCTGAATGTGATCTATGGCTGTTTGTTGACTCATCGCTCAGCATCTCAGAGCAGCGATAAACATGCCAAATGGGTCTAGAATGGCTCAATCAGTTGGGTTTAATTTCCTGGAGTACTGTGTACAGCTCTGGTCACTGCTAAATAAGGGAAGGCAAAGAGAATGCAGTGTTTCAGACGAGTTATTAAGAGTGGCAAAGGAATGCCAGGTAAACTCGACTCCTCTGTCCTGCCACCACTGCTAGGTCTCGGCTTCTCATTGACGGAGCCTGTAACATAGTGAATCTCACACACGCCGGTTAATATACTGTATTCTGTGTTTACAGCTTCCCGTACAGGGTTGTCCCAGTCACAGGAAGCCAACTCTCTGGTACGTACCACACCTGGACTCCCACCCAGCCTCACACCCAGCCCAACCCTCACACCCACACTCAGCTTCACTCCTCTCCCCACCTTCACCCCCACCTTCAGTCCACAACCTCACCCCCTGCCGCACACCCACCCTCACCCCACCCTCACCATCAAACCTACCCACCTTCACCCTCACCTTCAATCCACACCCTCACTATCACCCCACCCCCACCCCCACACCCTCACTCCACATTCCCACCGTCAGGGGCTGTGTGGTGGTGGGGTGGGGGGGGGGGGTGGGGAAGGACTGTGGCGGGGCTGTGGGGGAGGGGTTGGTTTACACTGATTCTCTAACTTTTATTGTTCCAGAGAAAGACGAGTTGTTCCAGAACGTTCTGTCACAAGTTGCAGAACAATTTTCCAGGTGATTTCCTCGGAGTCACTGCTTCCAGCTGTCTCTATCACGCTCTCTCTCACTCTCTCTGTCACTCTCTCTCTTTGTCACTCTCTCTCTCGCTCTCTGTCACCCTCTCTCTCTCTGTCACCCTCTCTGTCACTTTCTTTGTGTCACTCACTCTCTCTCTCTCTCCCTCTGTAGGGCTTTTAAAATTAACGAGCTGAAGACTGAGGTCACCAACCGATTGGCCATGTTAGAGAAGAGAGTGGAATGTAGGTACCATGTGTCAGCCAGGTCCTCCTCTGTTGCCCTCCCCCACCACCCCGTACATCTCTCCGGCCCCCGCACATCTCCCCCCCGGCCCCGCACATCTCCCCCCTCGCACATGTACCCCCGTGCACACGGGTATACTTTGCTCTATGTCCCCACCCGGTAACCCTGCCCTGTGTGCCCCCAGTGGAGGCGCTGAAGGTTGTGGAGATAGAGAAGTGTCGCAGTGACATCAAGAAGCTTCGCGATGAGATGACTTTGAGAAACAGCAGGTCAACGAGTCTGTCTTCATTACGCACGATTGCCCTCTGCATGTGCGTCAGCTGACGTGTGAACTCTGTCTATGTAGCTGGCGTGTGTGCTCTGTCTGTGTGGTGGTGTGGGCGCCCAGTGTATGTAGCTGGCGTGTGTGCTCTGTGTATGTAGCTGGTGTGTGTGCTCTGTGTATAGTAACATAGAAACAGGAGTAGGCCATTCAGCCCCTCGAGCCTGTTGCGCCATTCTATAAGATCATGGCCTATGTGTACCTCAAGTCCAATTACCTGCCTTTGCCCCGTATCCCTTAATACCCTGACTTAACAAATATCTATCCACCTCAAGCCTTTTGGGGGAGAGTTACAGATTTCCATCTCCCTTTGTGTGAAAAACTGCCTGATTTCACTCCTAAATGGCCTAACTCTAATTTTAAGATTATGCCCTATTGTTCTGGATTCCCCTACCAGTGGAAATAGTTTCTCTGTATCTACCCTATCGAATCCCTTTATTATTTTAAAAACCTCAATCAGATCAACCCGTCGACCTTCTAACTCAAGGGAATAGAGACCATGTTTATGCAACCTGTCCTCATAATTTAACCCTTTAGGCCCTGGTATAATTCTGGTGAATCTGCAATGCACCTTCTCCAGAGCCAATATATCCTTCCTGAGGTGCGGTCCCCAAAACTGAATGCAGTTCTCCAAATGGAGTCTGACCAAGGCTCTATAAGGTTGAAGCATCATTTCCTCTCCTTTATATTCCAGCCCCCTTGAGATAAAGACCAACATCCTATTAGCCTTTTTGATAACTTTTTGTACCTGTCAGCTTGTTTTTAGTGGTTTGTGTACGTGAACACCCAAATCCCTTTGCTCCTCCACAGTTCTAAGTTTCTCGCCATTTATTTGCTCTTTTTGGATCCACAGTGAATGACCTCACACTTCCCCACAATGAATTCCATCTGCCACAGTTTTGCCCTCTCACTTAATCCATCTAAGCCCTTTGTAACTTCCTGCTCCCATTTACCCAATTTTCTGTGCTCCTAACTCTGTGGCTTATCAGCCCTACCAACCTGTCCACTCCCTACACTCAGCGGGCTGCAGCGTACTTCACTTCCCCCGCCTTGCCTGCCCCTCCGTTGGCGGGTGGGCCTTCAGTCTCTGTTCCCACACACTGGAACTCCATCCCACAGTCCCTTCACCTCATCCCCTCCCCTGCCTTCTTCAAGGCAAGTCTCAAGACCCTCCTCTTTGACCGCGACTTCGGCCACCTTCTTACCCCTATCCTCCCTGCCCACCCCTCCTAATCCCAAACACCAGCTCGGGTCCAAATCCCTGACTGTCCAGTGCCTTGGGACATCCTCCTGACGTGAAAGGTGGTCTACAAATGTAATTTGTTGTTGTGCATAACCTTATCAAATGTCTTCTGGAAGTCCATGTAGACGACATCCATGGACACTGTCTTAACCACCATGTTAGTGACCTTCTCAAAAAATTCAATATGATTCGTCAGACATGACCTACCTTTCACAAATCCACGCTGACTCTCTTTGATTAGCTCATACTTGTCCAAGTGCTCATTCATTCTGACCCTGATGAGAGATTCCAGTATGTAGTTACCTTCTCCCTTCTTAAATAATGGAGTGGCATTTGCAGTTCTCCAATCCAAGGGCAAAATTCCCGAATATAGAGAGCTTTGGACACTTATGACTAACCCATCTACAATTTCCTCTTCTACTTCTTTTAATACCCTGGGGTGGAATCTATCAGGTCCTGGAGATTTGTCTATCTTTAGCCCCGGAGCCCATTATTTTCTCCATCACTTTTTTTAAATTTATGTTAAATCCATTTAGTACTTCAGTTTGGCTTATTTTTAGGTTCCCTATTTTGTCCTCTTCCTCTACTGTGAAAACGGAAGCAAAGTATTCATTCAACAAGCCTGCCATTTGCTTCTTGTCCATTCGCCCACAAAATGTACAGCCAATTCACTTTGCAGTATATTCTGTGAAGCGCTTTGAAACGTCTCAAAGACATGATATCAAATGCAAGATTATTATTATTTTAGTCTCGCCTACATGTCTTTAATGGGCCCTGATTACCCTTTACCACTCTCTTTTGCTTAATGTATTTATAAAACCTTTCACCGTTGTCCTTGATATCCCTTGCAATTTTTTTTCTCATATTCCCATTTTGCACCTCTCATTACTTTCTTTGTATCTCTGTGTTGCTTTGTAGGAGTCTCCCAGTCTGCAACAACATTTACAAAAGTTTCCTGGATGATAAAAAGCAGGGCAACGAGAGTGTGTTCATACCCGCGACTTCCGTTTGCATGTGCGTCAGTCGGGGTGTGTGCCCTGTGTATGTAGCTGGCATGTGTGCTCTGTGTATGTAGTTAGCGTGTTTGCTCTGTATGTAGCTAGCATGTGTGTTCTGTGTATGTAGCTGCCGTGTGTGTTCTGTGTTTGGCATCGCTAACTGTTTTTTGTAACAACAGTTCCTTGGATGATAAGAAGCTGAATCCACGCCGTGACGTACTGTCCTACCCGAAGGTCAGAACACCATGCCCGTCACTGTTAGCACACGCACGGCACACGCTGTCACTGTTAGCACACAGACTGGACACGTTGTCACTGTTAGCACACACGGCAAATGCTGTCACTGTTAGCACACACATGGCACACACGTAACACACTCACTGTTGGTACGCAGATTACACATGTGGTCGCTGTTAGCAAACACGTGACACACACTGTCACCGTTAGCACACACACAGCACACACTGTCACTGTTGGCACACACACGGCACACGCTGTGGAGTCCTGCAGCTCAGTGGTTAGAGCACTCGCCTTGCAAGCGAGACACTCGGGTTCAATTCCAGGCAGAGGGCGAAACCTTGGGCAAGTTTCCTTACTCCACACGCCTAATAATAATCCCTCCAAAACCAAATAATAATAATTAATAATAATAAATTGGCCATGACTGTTTGTTGGACACTGCTGTGTGCAATTGGCTGCCGCGTTTCACCCACAAATAAACGGTCAATTCATTTTACAGTCTATTCAGTTGAGAAGACGTGAAAAGCGCTATATTAAATGCAAGGATTATTATTATTATTATAATCCTCTGAATTTTTACCCCCAGTGTAAATAACTCTTCATAACTATCCCTGTGATTGGTGTCCCCTCCCCTCCCCTCTCGACTCTCTTCCCCCTCCTCGCTCCCTCCCTTCCCTCCCCTACCATTTCCCCCCTCCTCGCTCCCTCCCTTCCCTCCCTCACCCTGACCATTTCCCCCCTCCTCGCTCCCTCCCTTCCCTCCGCTCACCCTGACCATTTCCCCAATGCTCGGGTCATGACCCAACTGTGCAGCGCCTTGGGACGTCCTCCTGACGTGAAAGGCGCTTTATAAATGGAATCTTGTTGTTGTTGTTGTCTTTCTTGGTGCCAAGACCCTGGTACTAATTTTAATTGCCGGATAAATCTTGTATAGTTTAACCCCCTGACCCCATTACTTCCCACCTCCCTCTCCTTGTCTCTGCTCTCAACTTTCACTGCCAATTCCAGCACTGGAAAAATGAATTATTGAGCTCCTCTCTCCTCAATTGAAAGGGTAGAACTTACTAAGGGAGATGCTGAATGTGATCTATGGCTGTTTGTTGACTCATTGCTCAGCATCTCAGAGCAGAGCATTTCACTATTAGCACACACACACATGGCACACACACAGCACACTGTCACTGTTGGCACACACACGGCACACACTGTCACTGTTGGCACACACACGGCACACACTGTCACTGTTGGCACACACACGGCACACACTGTCACTGTTGGCACACACGCGGCACACACTGTCACTGTTGGCACACACGCGGCACACACTGTCACTGTTGGCACACACACGGCACACACTCACTGTTGGCACACACTGTTACTGTTGGCACACACACAGCACACACTGTCACTGTTGGCACACACACGGCACACACTGTCACTGTTAGCACACACACGGCACACACTGTCACTGTTGGGACACACACGGCACACACTGTCACTGTTGGGACACACACGGCACACACTGTCACTGTTAGCACACACACGGCACACACTGTCACTGTTGGCACACACACGGCACACACATTCACTGTTGGCACACACACGGCACACACTGTCACTGTTGGCACACACAAGGCACACATTCACTGTTGGCACACACACGGCACACACTGTCACTATTGGCACACACACGGCACACACTGTCACTATTGGCACACACACGGCACACACTGTCACTGTTGGCACACAGATTGCACACACTGTCACACGCTGTCCCTGTTGGCACACACACAGCATACGTGGTCAGTAAGTTTTCTCTCTGTGTGCAGTACCTGCTGTCCCAGGAGACCATCGACGCTCTGAAGAAACCCACCTTCGATGCCTGGCAATGGGAAGCCAACGAGGTAACAGTGCATAGGCGGGTGTGGGGGTGAGGGAGGCGGTGGGGTGGGGGTGAGGGGGGAGGTGAGGATGAGGGCGAGGGGGTTAGGTTTAAGGGTGGGGGTAAGGGAGGTGAGGATGTGTGCTGGGGGGTGAGGGGCATGCGGGTGGGGTGTGGGGGGTTTGTGTGGGGGTGGGGATGTAGGGGGTGAGGGTGGGGCATGTGGGGGTTGGTGGAGGGGTGGATGAGGGATGTGAGAGTGGGGTGTGTGTGGGGGGGTGGGGGAGTGAGGTTGCGAAGGGGTGGATGGGGTGGGGTGAGCTGTGTGTGAGGTTGTTACACTGACCCTCTCTTTGTGGGCACAGATGCTGAGCTGCCTGGAGCACATGTACCATGACCTGGGTCTGGTTAAAGATTTCAACATCAACCCCATCACTCTGAAACGCTGGCTGGTAAAGTGCACAGCAACTCCCCCTCCTCGCTGCGAGAGGATCTCAGTCACTACAGCACAGACACAGACAGTCACAGGGCATTGGCTGGGCAGGGACTGGGGTGGGTGATGGGGGTGAGGATGTGTGTGAGAGTGAATGTGTGGGGGTGAGGGGGGGGGCAGGGGTGAGGGTGGTGTGTAGAGGGGTGAGGGTGTGTGTTTGAGTGGGGGTGAGGGTGCGTATGTGTGAGGATGAGAGTGTTTGTGGGTGATTGTGAGGGTGTCCACATCATGTCCTAGTTTTTTCTCAACTCGCAGTGTTCCCACTAATAAGGAAATGATAGGGGAAGTTTACCAAACGGTCGCAGTACATTTCCAAGTTATCTCCTGGCTGTTTGAAACACCCCTATATTTTTGTAATATAACATAAAATGCTAATTCCAAGTTTTCATCCAGTTAATGATAAACAAGAAAAAGTTGCCCTTCTCCCCACCCCCTCCCGCACTCCCCTTCCCGCCCTCACCTGTAGTTTGGTGGTCTCGTAAGCGAGAGTACCTGGGTTCAATTCCCGGGCAGGGTGAAATGTTGGGCAAGTTTCTTTACTCCAAACCCCTCTGTTTACCTAGAAGTAAGTAGGACTTGGTTATCAGTCGATTGGCAGATCACCTTTCCGGGGGTAATAATCCCTTTATTAAAAAAAAGATAATAAATTGGTCACTCAATTCATGACTGTTTGTGGGAGACTGCTGAGTGCAATTGGCTGCCCCATTTCGCCCACAAAGTATACAGTCAATTCACTTGATAAGGCGCTGTATCATATGCAAGGATTATTATTGTCTGTTCACACTGTTTCTCTCTCTCAAGCTCTGTATCCATGACAATTACCGGCAAAATCCATTTCACAACTTTCGCCACTGTTTCTGTGTGACTCAGATGATGTACAGTATGATCGCCCTGTGCAGCCTGCAGGTCAGTTTAGGGGTGGGGTGGGGGGGAGAAGGGTGTGTGTGTATGTGTGTGTTCAGGGTGTGTGTGTTTGTGGGTGTGTGTTTGAGGTATGTGTGTCGGGGGTGTGTGTGTGTGTCGGGGGTGTATGTGTGTGTGTCGGGAGGGATGTGTGTGTCGGGGTATGTGTGAGTCTCGGGGGGGGGTGTGTCGGGATGTGTGTGTGTGTGTCGGGGTGTGTGTGAGTGTGTGTGGGGGTGTATGTGTCGGGGTGTGTGTCTGTGTTGGGAGGGTGTGGGGGTGTGTCGGAGGGATGAGTGTGTTGGCAGGAGGTGTCGGGGGGGTGTGTGCCTGTGTGTCGGGGTGTGTGCATGTGAGTCGGGGTGTGTCGAGGTGTGTGCGGGTGTGTGTTGGGAGCTGTGTGCATGTGTGTCGGGGGGTGTGTGCTTGTGTATCGGGGTGTGTGCGTGTGTATTGGGGTGTGTGCATGTGTGTGGGTGTGTGTGTATGTGTCGTGTGTGTTGGGGTGAGTGTGTGTCGGAGTGTGTGTGTGTGTATGTGTGTATGTCGAGTGTGTGTATGTATGTCAGGGTGTGTGAGTGTGTATCGGGGTGTTTGTCGGGGGTGTGTGTGTCGGGGGGGTGTGAGTTAGGGGGGCGGTGTGCCCGGATGTGTGTGTCCGGGTGTGTGTTAGTGTGTATGTGTCGTGGTGCGTGACTGAACACTGATCACTTTCAGGAGAAGTTCACACAAATTGATGTGCTGATATTGATGAGCGCTGCCGTGTGCCATGACTTGGACCATCCCGGTTACAACAACACGTGAGTTGAGCATCATCACTCTGCCTGTGTGTATCGGCTGTGTGTGTACCGGCTGTGTGTACCGACTGTGTGTGTATCTGCTGTGTGTGTCTACTATATGTGTACCTGCTGTGTGTACCTGCTGTGTGTATATCTGCTGTGTGAACCTGCTCTAGGTGTGTGTATCTGAGGCCACTCCACCCGGCTATACCACACACCATACCCCACATCCCAACTGCTGTGACTCCTCTGGCTCATTCCCCTCATTCGAGCACCTTACACTCAACCATCCCTCCAATCATTCCCTCAAAATTCTCCTCATTTACCGCTCCCCCAAAACCTCCCCCGACTTCATCTTTGAAGTCTCCACCCTCCTAGCTTCCCTCTGCCTCTGTTCTGAATGCCTCCTCATCCTCGGCGACTTCAACCTTCAGTTCACACCCTCCTGCTCTATCTCCTCGGACTTCTCTCCTCTCACAACCTCTCCCTCCACATCCACTCTGCCACCCACGTTCACGGCCGCCCACTCGGCCTGGTGATCACCCGGGGCCTCAGTGACTCAGATGTCACGATCATAGACAAAGCCATCTCTGATCACCATTTCATCTCCATCGACTCTTCAATCCTGATCCGTGACTGCTCGGCGTCTTCGGATGTCCTCCCAACGTGAAATGAGCTTTAAAATGTCATTTTGTTGTTGTTGTGTGTACCTGCTGTGTGTGTACCTGCTGTGTGTACCTGGTCTGGGTATGTGATGATGCTCTCTCTCTGTGCAGGTATCAGATCAATGCGCGGACGGAGTTGGCTGTGCGCTACAATGACATCTCTCCCCTGGAGAATCATCACTGTGCCATCGCCTTCGAGATCTACTCCCAGCCCGAACGTAATATCTTCTCCAACATCGACAGCGAAGCCTTCAAACAGATCCGGCAGGTGAGTGTGTGTGTGAGCGTGTGTGAGAGTGTTTGTGTGTGTGTTTGGGTGTATTTGTGGTGTGTGAGTGTTTGTGAGTGTGTGTGTGTGTGTGTGTGAGAGTGTGTTTGTGCGTGTGTGTGCGTACGGGCAGGGGCTCACAGCGCTTTCGGAGTGAGTTCAGATTAGATCCTCTCCTTACCTCCAGTGTCTGTCCCTCAGTGACTGCCAGGGGAGGGGGCGGTTACTGTAGGCACGGTCGAAAAGGAAAGTCTTCAGGTGAGAGCTGAAGATGGGGAAGGAAGGGATAAGGCGGAGGGTTTGAGGGAGAGTGTTCCAGAGTTTTGGGGTGCAATGGCTGAAACAGAGGGCACGAGGGATATGCAGAAGGCCCGAAGCCAGTCGAGCAGAGACAGTTGTGGGGTGGGGAATAAACAGGTCAGAAAGGTAGAGAGGTGCCAGAGCATCAAGGGATTTGAAAAGGGAGTGTGAGGGAGGATCTTGAAATCGATCCGTTTTGTGATAGGAAGCCAGTTGAGCCTGGCTAGAGCTTTTGTGATGGGGGTACGGAGTGTAGTGCGGGTGAATATCCGGGCGGCAGAGTTCTGGATTAACTAGATTTTGTGGATGGTGGAGCTGGGGAGATTGGCGAGGAGGGCATCGGAATAGTTGAGGTGGGAGGTGACGAACGCATGGATGAGGGTTTCGGCTTTGGGTAAGGTATGGTCGGTCGGAGGCAGGCAATATGGTGGTGTGAGCAAAGTTGGTTAACAACGAGAACCCGAGCTTTGGCAAGGAAGATTAGGTTGGAAGTGGGACAGTAATTCATAATGTATGAGGGATCAAGGGTGTTTCTTTTGAGGAAGGGAGCGATGACGGCGGTTTTAAGGCGGAGAGGAACAGAACTCGAGGAGAGCAACTGGTTGACTGTGTTGGCCACCGTGTGGATGGGGGGGGTGGGTAGGAGGGGGAGTTGGGTGACCAGCATTTAGGCGGGGGGTGGGTGGGGTTGAGGCAGCAGATGGTGGGCTTCATCTGTGAGATGGTGGTTGAGAGGGAGGTGGGAGTAATCGAGGCAAAGGATTGTAGGGAGGGCAATGGTAGGGGCCGTAGTGGAAGTAGGGGGGTGGTATATGGTCTGGGGGGGTGCGGAAGGAGACATAGGGCAGGAGGAGGAAGATGTAGCCGAAGGGATATTTTAAATCTTTGACGCAAAGAATTCTAGGACCTCTTCCACTCTGCATTTGAAGTGATGGAGGGCAGCTTGTTGTTGTGGGGGGAGAGGGAGGTGATGAATGATGGAGAACAGTGCTTCTGGGTTGTGAGGTGATCACTGACTGTATTCCAGGGGGTGATTGCACTGATCCTGGCCACCGATATGGCGAGACACGGTGAGATTCTCGATCTCTTCAAACAGAAAGCCGACAACTTTGATTTCAGCAACGAGGAGCACGTGACCTGTGTGAGTCTGACCACTCGTACCTCTTTAACCTCCCCGCACCCCCTCGTAACCCTCGTACCCTCTTTACCCCTCGTACCCTCTTTACCCCTCGTACCCTCTTTACCCCTCGTACCCTCTTTACCCCTCGTACCCTCTTTACCCCTCGTACCCTCTTTACCCCTCGTACCCTCTTTACCCCTCGTACTCCCTTTACCCCTCGTACTCCTTTTACCCCTGTACACCCTTTACAGCCTCATACACCCTTTACACCCTTGTACCCCCTTTACTCCTCATACTCCCTTTACCCCCTGTACCCCCTTTAAATCCTTGTACACCCTTTACACCCTCGTACCCCATACCCTCTTTACCCCTCGTACCCCTGCCCCCGTGTACCCCATTTACCCCCTTTGCTATTTACCCCCTATCCCCTTTATCCTGTATCCCCTTTACCCCCTGACCCAGTTGCACCCCATTTACCCCCTTTATCTGCTCGTATCCCTGTTATTCCCCCTGCTCCGCCATGCTCTCTCACTGACCCATGTCCTTTGGCCTGTAGCTGAAGATGGTGCTGATTAAATGCTGTGACATCTCTAATGAGGTGAGGCCAATGGAGGTAGCGGAGCCCTGGGTGGACTGTTTACTGGAGGAGTATTTCATTCAGGTCAGTCAGCCCGTGACCCCCTCACAAACATATTAGTATCCACAATACTGTGCTGCCTATCTGACTGACTGACTGACCGACTGACTGACTCTCAGTGTTACTGTGTGACTGACTGACCGCTCGGTGTTGCCGTGTGACCGACAGAGTGACCGGGAGAAACTGGAGGGACTGCCTGTGGCTCCGTTCATGGACCGAGACAAAGTGACCAAACCCACGGCACAGATTGGATTCATCAAGTTCGTGCTGATCCCGCTGTTCGAGGCAGTGATGAAGGTAAGAACTGGGCTGTGCGATGGCGGCAGACACACTGCATTCACACATGCTCACCGCTCTGCAAACTCACTCACACTTCTACAGGGACACTTTGCTCACACAATCACACACTTGCAACACAGACGTGTGTCACACTAACTCACACACTTATTCACACTCACACACTAATGCTCTCACACACATTTGCTTACTCCCCAACCTTTTACATTGCATTCTCAGTCTCACAGGCACAGTCCATCTCTCCCAAGTCATTCTCAATTTTTCCAAGTCTCTGTGAGTCAGTCTTTCCCAGTTTCTCTCCCTCCCCTTTCCAGTCTCACTATCTCTCCTAGTCTCCCTGTCTCTCAGTCTCACAATATCTCTCTCTATATATATCTGTCTCTCTTTCTGTCTGTCTCTCTGTCTCACACACTCACCGCCAACCTCTTGGTCTCACAATCATCTCTCTCTAACAGTGTCTTGGAGAAGCACTTCAGGACACCGTCCAGCATGAAGGGCACTAAATAAGTGCAAATAGTTGTCTCCAGATCTCTCACAGACTCACAGATGTCCTCTTAGTCTCTGCTCACAGTCTCTCTCTCAGTCTCTCTCTCTCTCTCTCTCTCTCTCTGAGTCTCTCTCTGAGTCTCTGTCTCACAGGGTCTCCTCTCTCTCAGATCTTCCCTCAGATAGAAGAGGTGATGGTTCAGCCTCTGCGTGACTCACGGGATCGTTACGAGGAGTTAAAGCAGATTGACGATGCCATGAACGAGGTAATAACATGAAAGAGCCTCCCCCAACACCCATCACAAGTCATTATCCCTTGCTCAGCCCCACAAGTCACTCCCCACCCACACAAATATTCCCCAATCACGTCGCACCTTGATTCACACCCCCTCATCCCTCCCACACCCCTCCGCATCCAGCCCCCACACCCACATTTCTCCCCCTCACACTCTCCCCACCTCAGAGACCTAACACGGACGTGAGAGCGACAGGAAGGGACAGAAGCTAAATGCCTGTTTGCCGTCAGGTCCAAAAGAAGAAAAATGAAACGCTGGCTCTTGGGAGCAAAAAGAAGTGAACAGAAACCATCTGTGTGAGGTAAGCACATGTGTGTGTGAGGTAAGCACATGTGTGTGTGAGGTAAGCACATGTGTGTGTGAGGTAAGCACATGTGTGTGTGTGTGTGTGAGGTAAGCACACCTGTGTGTGTGTGTGTGAGGTAAGCACACCTGTGTGTGTGCGTGTAAGTTCATCCGTGAGGTAAGTCAGATGTGAGCAGGCGTGTGCCATGGGAACCAGGAGGCTTCGTAAAAGAAGAGCAGGACCAAGCCAGACAGGAGTGGCTGGGCAAACTGAGCGAGTTGTTCCACTGCCCATAGCACAGAAACAGCCTGTCAAAGGGACAAATTACACTTTGTCCATCTGTGACCAGGGCTTCCTCTGCCTCCTCATCTTCCTTGACCTCTCTGCTGTCTTGGATACCATTGACCACTCTATCCTCCTCCAATGCCTCTCCCAGTCCTTCACTGGTTCAGATGCTACCTCTCACACCATCTCCACTTTGTCTCCACAAATGGCTTCTCCTCCAGCCCCCGCATTATCTCGTTCACCATTCCTCAGGGCTCTGTCCTTGTTCCTCTCTCTTCAACATCAACATGCTCTCTCTTGGTGACATCATCCAAAGACATGGGGTCAACTTCCACGTGTGTGCAGATGGCATCCAACTCTATCTCTCTGCCTCCATCCTTGGTTCCAGGACCACAGAATGTCTGTCGGACATCAAGTCCTGGATGAGGGCTAACTTTCTCCAGTTGAACATCAACAAGACCGAGGCTCTCCTGATTGGCTCCCGTCAGTGCCTTCACACCTCAGGCACTGACAGCATCACCATCCATGGATGCACACTCCAGCTCACTGAGCCAGTCTGGAACCTTGGCATCTTCTTTGTCCCTCAACTGTCCTTTCCAACCCCCCATCCGTGCCATGACCCGCGCAGCCTTCCCCCACCTCCGCAACATCACCCAGCTCCGCCACTGCTTCAACTCCTCAGGCCACCAAAATCCTCATCCATGTGTTCATTACATCTAGACTCGACTTTGCCTACTCCCTGCTTGTCGGCCTCCACAAGCTGCAGATCATCCAGAATTCTGCAGCTCATATCCTCTCCTGCACCAGGCTCTGTGACCCTATCAACCCCACCCTTGCCCGGCTCCACTGGCTTCCCATTGCCCAGAGGATAGAGTTCAAAATCCTCATCCTCGCCTTCAAAGCCCTCGATGGTCTTGCCTCTTCCTCTGTGACCTGCTAATCCCATATAATCCTCTCCGCTCAGCATGCTCTGGGCTGCTCCCGTGCCCCGCCCGGCTCATCCCACCATTGCGGTCACCATTGCCTTCAGCTTCTCTGTTCCCACATTCTGGAACTCCATCCCACTTTTCCTTTGCCTCGCTCCCTCCCCTGCCTCCTTCAAAGCACGTCTCAAGACCCTCCTCTTGACCGCGACTTCGGCCACCTTTCTACCCCTATCCTCCCTGCCCACCCCTCCTGAATCCAAACCCCAGCTGAGGTCCAAATCCCTGACTGTCCAGTGCCTTGGGACATCCTCCTGACGTGAACGGTGGTCTACAAATGTTATTTGTTGTGTCTGTGTGTGAGGAACGCATGTACAGGCAAGAGTGTAAGAAAATTGATCCTGGGAGTGATGTGATGGGTTTAGACAGCAGATGTTTGTTACAGTCTGTGTAAAACAATCTCATGTCTTCCACAGACGCTGCCCGATGTCACTGTGACAACACTTTATCTGGAGACTTGTCATGGGAACAAATTCCCAAACCGCTCGAGATCCTGGATTTGCTGTATTGAGGCCGGGATTGGGATTGGAATTGGGATCGTTCGGGCAAGAACCTCACCCATTGGATTTGGTGTTTTTTATAACTTGTGCAACGATTGTGAGAGATTTTTACAAAAGCCGACGAGAAGATATTACCTCTTTGCCCGGTTTGTGGCGGTGCTTTGAAAGAGGAGTCAGTAAAGTGGGTAGTGGCTGTGTTTGTCCTCCTCCTCGCTGACCCTGGTGTGGGGGTGGGGGAGGGAATTCACTTGCAATCTTTTTCCAATTTGTATTTTTTTTTAAATTGAAACTTTGACCTGTGGGGGCAGGGGTTGTGCTCTGTCTAAACTCGGTGCATTTTTAAGAATGTTGCTATTCCAGTTGTATAATTCTATGGCTTTTAACTTGTTACTTGGAGCTCAGTGATGTTGAGCCTGGCTCTGAGCTGCCGGGAGGGGTATATCTTTAGTGGATCTGCTTCCTGTGACTGTGTCAGGGACAGTCCCCGGGAAATGTGAGGTCTCACAGATTGATTTACATGAGAATTCGCAGACTTTCTAATCCACAATTTGTTTTAATTTTCTCCCTCCTCTGCTGTAGTTTAGGGCCAGGGCTGGCTCTTCTCCTCCCCCCCCACCCCTCTTTGTGGGTGAAGATAAAGCACCAGGATATTGGTCATACAGCGAAGCCCCTGATGTCCACACACGTTCAACACGGTAATGGACCTGTGGCTAATGGAAGCCTTGTCTCATAGGGCAAAGACCAGCTGTCGCCCTGACCGCTATGTGGGAGCATACGCAGGCTGGAGAGCAGGCAGAGCCCTGAACACGGGTTGAGAAGCTCGTTTCGTCTCTCATTCCTACGTTTTATTGATTTATGTTTTCCTGCCGCAGCTTTGATTGTTACTGAATCCAGGGAAGTGGACTGACTGGACCCTGGAGCGGGAATGTCCAGGCAATGAGAGCTGACCGATTGAAATATTGAGCTGAATTTACTTGATTTAGGAAGGTGTTGTTTAGTGGCTGGTGCAAGCCACGTATATTATAAATTATTTGCTTTATGAGCGGAGGGAAAGCTGCCTTGACCCTCCATCATTCTGGGTCAGGATTCCTCGCTGTGATCTGAAGCCCAGAATTCTACCCAGTCTCAGCCTCAGAAATATTATTCAATTATAAAATGGCCAAAAACAAAACTATTCCAGACACAAGGAGATTTCCATGTGTTAGTGACGTATATACACATGTGGAATACTGTCTAGTTTGGATACTTTTAACCTAGTTGATGATAGGTTAGTATGTCAGACACCTGGCAGATTAAAAAAATGTCAATTAATTTGTTGGCCAGTTTTCAATAACTGTAGAAAAAACAGCTTCAATATTGGGTAAATTTTAGAATTTTATCTCTTAAAATTGAAGGTTTAAAGACGTAAAACAGACAGATGGGACTGTGGCCCTCTGTCTGACCTCGGTTTCAGATTTTTTTTGAAATACGAGACTTTGATTTTCAGAACAAAAATCAGATTAACTTTATAAAATAGTAAAAATATAAAAATAAATTGTGAATTTTGAACAATCTTCCATTTGTTTCCTCAATTCAGCCATTTCACCCTCCCCCAGTTAGGAGGAAACCTTACTGCCCTGTGTGATTAATGAGGACAAGCGTTCCAGGACGCTACCAGATTCATAGATGCAGTAAAGGGCACTAGCTAAATGCAAGTTGTTGTTGTTGACTAACTCACCAGGACTAATTCCTCCTCTGAAGCTCGAGGATTCCCCCCATCCACAGCTCCTCACCAATCACCATCCCCGTGTTTAATTACCAGATTTATTCCCACCCCCAACCCTCGTCTGGATTAGCCTGGCTCCCGCACTAAGCTTTGTGAGCCGATCACACCCATCCTTCACCGGCTTCCCATCCCCCAGAGGATCGAGTTCAAGATCTTTCTGGTCACCTCCACTCTAATCCTCCCTACCTCTGTGACCTATCACCAACTTGTTGACTCCCTCCTCTCGACGGGCACTGCTCTGCCCACCCCACCATTGGCAGTCAGGGCTTCAGCCTTTCTGCCCCCGCCCTCTGGAACTCCATCCCGGAGCCCTGACCTCTTGCCCCCTCCCTTGCCTCCTTCAAGGCCAGTCTGAAGACCTTTTCGACTGTACCTTCAGTCATTTTCCCACCTGATCACAAATCTGCAGCTCAGAAGCAAACCCCTCATTGTCCCAACGCCTTGGGACGTCCTCCTGACGAAAAAGGCACTGTATAAATGCAATTTGTTGTTGTTGAACAAACTGATTACTGCATTCACCTACAAAATACACCAACTACACTTTCCAGTATATCCTGTGAAGCTCTTTGAGATCCTTCCAAAATATGCCACATCAAATGCATGAATTACTGTAGTTATAAAGGACTAACTCCACCAATAATCTAATTGCTGAGGAGTAAACTGCTCCTGGGACTAAGAGGACAAATTCCCACCCTCCTTGTTACCAAGGACTAAACATCCCATCTATCACCAAGGAATAATTCCTCCGACAGGCTTAAGGAAAATGACCCACCACTCTGTCCAGTTACCGTGGATGAACCTCTCTTCCAACTGGTTTGGAGACCAAGGATGTAAGTGTGGAAAGGCAGCACGAGAGTCTATAAAATAACATCACTTTATTTCTGCTCCAGGAAGTCACTATGTAACCCCTTCNAAAAACATTTGGTCACTCAATCCACATTTGTGGGACGCTGTCGTGCGCAATTGGCTGTTGTTTCACCCACAAAATATAGTTGATTCACTCTACAGTATATTGTGAAGCGCTTTGAGATGTCTTGAAGACGTGATAAGGGGCTACATCAAATTAAAGCCAGGGCTTCCCATGACATCGTTCCCACCAAGAACCGTAAAAACATCCCGGCGAGGAATGGGATTGTCTCATTAACACTAGCTCAGTGTCTGAAAGTTCCAGCCTGCAGTCACTCCGCAGTGCCTCAGCGGCTTAGTCAGCATTGTCAGGACGAGCTGTCCCCCACTGCCTCTCTGACCCCTTCCACTCGTCTCCTCTTGTCCTCCTCGGGCGCCAACCCATTCCCTCGCTCCTTCAATCGCTGCTCCTTTCTCTGCTTGTACTTGGCCACATTATCCAAGGTCACTTTGTAGAGGTTCGTGCAGCAGCTGACAGCGTTCACCCTGCCTGCTCACAGCAAGTCAAGGCAGCGGATTAAAACAGGAATGGTGAGCACGCCGCAGATACAAATCAAACCCAGGCATTCAGGGAAGTTCATGCAAGCAGGGCCCCTGGGGAGAGAGCAGGGGCCCGGGGAGACAGCCGGGGAGAGAATAGGGCTGGAAAGGTGCTGAGTGGGGAAGGGCAGGTTGGGGAGGGGAGTGGACGGGTGGGAAGGGGCTTACCCTGGAACAACTCCCAGTGTGTGCGCACAGTGTCTGACAATCTCTCTAAATCTGTATCTTCTGTGATTTTCTGTTAAAATAAAAAGAAACTGAGTTACAAGATTATACACCCCCTGACCTCAGATTACTCCCCAACATCCCCCCACCCCACCAAGATCATCCCCCCAGGTAAGGGCCACCCTCCCACCAGGAACCCCAACAAGAGACAGCTCCTCCACCGAGATCTCCAGTGACTGACCTGCCAGCGAGCCCCCCGGGCTGTGCACAGTGACTGACCTGCCAGCGAGCCCCCTGGGCTGTGCACAGTGACTGACCTGCCAGCGAGCCCCCCGGGCTGTGTACAGTGTGACCGGCTGCTCTTGGTCTCGGTGAAGGACCCAGAGTCGAGCCGACTCGTCAAATGACACGTCCCAGACCTTCGGCTCCAGCACCAGCGTCTCCTCGTGTACCAGCTGCTGGGAATCCACGTCCAACCTCACAAGATGGACTGCAGAGAAACTGAGCACAGGGTCAGCACAGGCCAGAGCCTCACCCTCTTCCCAACCCCAGCCCCGCGCTCTCCCAACCACTGCCTCTCCCCAACCCCTCCCTCTCCCCAGCCTGCCCTCTCCCAGCTCGCCCTCTCCCCCACCAGCACTGAACTCTCAAATGTCGCCCAAAAAATAAGAGACACTCAACTTCACAGTGAATCCTATGAAGCGCTATGAAACATCCTCCTGACCTGTAGGACACCGTATCAGAGGTAACAATCATCAATATTATATTGATGAGGAGTGGGTGCAGCAACACTTACTTATCACACAGCACTGCCAAGTAATCCCCCTGCAAACTGTGTGTGATCCTCACCACTGCCACCTGCCTCTGCAATGCACACAGCAACGTCAGTACTTACACACACCAGCAACATTCGCACCACCACCAGCCTAACTCCCAGTCACTGTAACTCCCAGTTTCACACCCAGTCATTGCCCTGTAATTCCCAGTCAGACCCATTGTAAATGCACCTCTTCATTTCCACGGCACCAAGGCTCGAGGCTGCGAAGGTCACAGCAGTGCAGCTCCTTCCCTCGAGTAAAGTCCCACAGCCTCAGGGTTCCGTCCTGCAAGGGAGACAACTCAGAGAATCAGCACTTGTACAGCATTGCTTTCATACACACAAACCTGGGCAGCACCAAGTAGCTACCACACACAGACATGTAGCAGGCAGGCACACGTACACACAGGCACAGTGTACACGTACACATACGTACACAAGCACACCCATCCCACACACACAACAAATTACATTTTACACGGTGCCTTTCATGTCGGGAGGACGTCCCAACGTACTGGACAGTCAGGGATTTGGACTCAAGCAGTGAATTGGGATCAGGAGGGGTGGAGGACAGGGAGGGTAGGGGTAGGAGGGTGACCGAAGATGCAGTTGAAGAGGAGGGACTTGAGATGTGCCTTGATGGGAGGCAAGGAAGGGAGCAAGGCGAAGGGACTGTGGGATGGAGTTCCAAAGTGTGGGGGCAGAGAGGCTGAAGGCCCGTCCGCCAATGGTGGGGCGGGCGGAGGGACGTGGACAGGCAGAGTCAAGGGAGCGGGCAGGTTGGTAGAGGATTAGAAGGTTCCAGACGTAGAGGGGAGCAAGACGATGGAGGGCTTTGAAGGAGGACCAGGATCTTGAACTGTATCCTCTGTGTGATGGAAAGCCAGTGGATTCGGGCAAGGATGGGGTGTGATTGGAAGCCAGTGGAGTCGGGCGTGGAGCCTGGTGTGGCAGAGGACATGGCTGCAGAGTTCTGGATGTTCTGTAGCCTATGGTGAGAGGATTTGGGATGCGGACAAACAGGGAATTTGCGTAACCGAGCCTATAGGTTATGAATACGTGTATGAGGGTCTCGGCGGCCTGCAGTGTAAGATAGTGGCGTAGCCAGCGATGTTGCGGAGGGGGGATGACAGAGCGGGTCATGGCATGGATGTGTACACTACACACAGCGCAGAAATGCACACACGCAAAAGCACACACAGACAAACACATACACATAAGCAACCCACATTCGATTAAGGTGCTATATTAATATATGTTGTATTCTTTAATATTATTTCATACGGATCATTTCACGTCAAGAAGGCATCTCAACGTGCTGCCCTGCACATACTGTGAAGTGTAGTGGCTGTGTGTTTCGTACCTACCCCAGAGCCAGACACAAGAAGCTGAGGATGGTTAGGAGGAATGAAGAGCTCACTGACAAACCTGTAGAGAAACAATAAATTCAGCCACAGAGGGCACAGCCCAACTCCCACACCTATCTCCCCACCACACACAAACACACTCAACCACCCCCCACCCACACATAGCTCAACCCCACCACCCCACCCACACACCTCAACCACCCCAATTACACTCACAGCTTAACCACAACCCTCCGCCCTTCACGCCCAGTTCAATCAGAATGACCACTGCTCCACTCAGACCCCTCCCCACCTCGCAGGTCCCCCCACTTTTCATTGTGGACTAGTATGAGACCCTATTACGTCCCTCACTATAGGGGAGCTATTACACTTTCAGTAGAGCTGCTATTAATAATAATAGTAATCTTTACATTTTATATTACACCTTTCGCATATCTGGGGGTTGAGTGTTCACCAGGACACCGGGAGAGAGAAACTCCCTTATCTTTTCGAATAGTGCCACGGGATATTTAATGTCCACCTGAACAGGCAGGTGGGGGACTTGGTTTAACATCTCATCTGAAGGATAGACTTCGTGAATTGCAATCCCCATGTGGGGCTCGAACCCACAACCTTCTACCTCAGAGACCAACTGAGCCAAAGCTGGTAACTATGGCTACCAGCTATGGCTCGGGGACCCTACCTCGCGTGAAGGGCGCTATATAAATGCAAGTTGTTGTTGTGGCTGACTGTTACACCCTGAATAAAGCAGATAAACGCACTCGCTGTGTCCCAGACAGAACGCCTCGATCACGTGTGGCTTCTCCAGAAAACTGACGCGAATCTTTTCATCTCGGTCCGAGGTCACCAGATAGCGATCATCCGGGCTCACAGCCTGAAACCAATGAGAGTGTGAGCAAGAGCGAGCATGAGCTTGGGAGAGAGCAAGAGCAAGTGAAGGCTGAACTGACTGACTGACTGACTCACCACGGCCAGTAACATGGAGAGGTGCCCGAGCTGCAGGTGTCCGGCCTCCTGAGGCTGGTGGATGGAGAAGCTGTAAATATCCCCGGATTTGTCGGCCAACAGGACCCTGTCCTCTGCCTGGGGAATGGCCAATGACGTACATCTCCGGGCTGCTGTCCTGAAAGCAACCAACTAGAGTTTACTGCACAGTCCTGATATCTAACACTGACTCATGTTACCACCCCACCCATCACACCCCACTCACTTTCCATCACATCCCTCCCCCATCATCCACTCCAGCCTTATCACACACCTCCCTCATTAGTCTGGCTCGCTGGGGTTTCAGAGCAGTTGGATTTGCCCACCTCAAGCTTCTCGTTTCCCAGTCAGAGAATCCTAGATATTTATGTGCAGAAAGAGGCTATTTGGCTCATGGAGACTGCACCAGCTGTCATGCCCATCCCCAGAACCTTTCATGCGCCTCTAATTCCCTCTTGAAACCGAAAGTGCACTCGGCTTTTACCACCTTGCTTGGCAGAGCATTCCACGTACTGGTAAACTACGTTCCTCGGTATCCCATGCAAAATTAAAATGCAATGCCAGTTCGCTTTTTCGGGGGTAATCCTTCAAAACAATAATTATTATAATTTGGTCACTCAATCCACGACTGTGGGACACTGCCGTGCGTAATTGGCTGCCAAATTTCGGAAGCGCTTTGAGACGTCTTCAAGATGCAATAAGTT